GAGCGGGCACACTCTTCCCTGAGTTGACTGGGGGTCGATTCTCGACTCGTAGGAATATTTTCCTATAGGAATTTTTGACATTTTTATATACATCGAAAATTTATGACATTTTCCTACATATAGGAAAGTGTCACAAATTCCTATAGGAAAAGGTTCCTACAAGTCGAGAATTATGTTTCAAAGTTTTCGAAAAGTATTGTTTCTTATTTTATAGATGACGTAATATTAATATTTAAAAATAATGTACTACAACAATTCAATCAAAATGGATAAATAAATCATCGAATGTGACCGGAAATAAATTAATAGAACTGATTTCTTTTTCGTTGATTTTAGTTGCACACTGACAACACCGCACTAATTTGTATTGACACATCATGACGGACATAATTCTAAATTCTAATGAATAAGTTTACATAAATGATCATTTAATGATCCTCATAAGCCTTTAATATGTAATTTTTTAAAAAAAACGGTAATTTGTGGGGTTTCCGGTGGTATATTTGAAAAATACACTCCTTCCTAAAGAGAAAAATGTAAGTTTTGTAAAAAAATATGTATTTTTAAGAAAAGGGCGTCTTCGCAATAATTACCCTATAATCATTATGAGACGGATGAAGACGAACTTAGCTGGAGTGTACTTGCTCTTAATTTTAATTTTTCGATAAGAAAATAAGAAAGTTTAATTGCAAATTAAAGGTGATTGCCTAATGCACCGCCTCTGATAATTAGGTTGTGTCTGTACTTACCTATGATATTATCTTGAAGAAGCATTTTCAACAGGCCTTTTACACATAAAGCATGTTTTCACCATATTATTAGAGATAATAAATCTTAAATATACATTTACAACCCTTACAACGTTATAAATAATAATATTTTTCGTAAAATACAAATAAGAAATTGACATGTGTGAGAAAGTGTCAGAACTGGCGCTCACAGAACACTTCTGGCGCTGTCAAACTTGGCAACGCTGATTAAATAAGCCAATTACAGAAGAGGTATTTTCCTCCTCGGGGGGAGTAGATGTTGCTAACAAAATTTAGCGCGGGGCAGGGGGGAAGACTCCCTCTAGTAGTAATTGCTTGGAGGCTTGCCTGACCTTCTCGAACTGTCATCTAGAATATTTTTGACGGGTAAAGACATTTCTGGACAATTCTTGAATATTCTATCTTCTTTTTCTATCTGTACGTTTCCTATGATAGCCGCAGGCTACTGCAGGGTGCTGCGTAACAATATCAAAGAGATGGAAATACAAAAACATATTTTTTATGCACTTTACCCCCATACAAGCAGAGCTTATGAGAAGCAAGAATGGCTATTATATTATTTACTGTGGCGTTCCCGAACATCTCACAAATGACTTTTTAAGAAAGTTACTCTAATATGACAAACATTACATTACTATTTCGGTACGTTAACTGTCTTTGGCTAAAAAAAATCAGAAATTGCACAACAAATAATTAATTTACTTGATATGAAAACTAATGCCTAAGTAAATAAATTTTCAAAATAAACAAAAAACAAAACAACAAATTCTTCTTGAATTTTAGGAAATAAGACAAAAGCAACCATCTATATCAACTGTAGTAACTTCAAATTATTTTGCTTGTCTTTTAGACATTGCCGCAGCCCTAATACTATCATTATAATACTTTCTTATTATTAATGGTAGACAAGTTTTAACTAAATGAGAAAAGACGTCAGTTTTACGTTCTTTACATGTAAACCAGAGATGGCTTGTGGCCTAGTCTACGAGGAGACTGGTGCACCCTATATACTTTATACAAATATATATTTCTTGTTAGAATACAATGTAATATTTCTGCTTTTTGTATTCTCATAGAAACATATATTTTTATTAAGTATATAGGGTGTACCTTTTAAAAGTAGCCTTCGGCCTCCTCGTAGACTAGGCCACAAGTCGCCTCTGATGTAAACCATTTAAAATCAACATGATCTGGCAAAAAAAGTTTAATTTTCTGAATTATGTTGGCAATATGACCCAAAAGTAATAAAACAATTTCATGAATTTTTGAAAGAAATTCAATAACATTTTTTTTGTACATAAATCAAACGTCTTTTTCCATCATTTTCTTTTAAATAAGTAAAAGTATCGACGGTATTCTAACATGTCTGTAAATTAGCTTTACACTCTTTGCAGTCAAATATATTAAGTTTCTTAATAAACCCTGCAACATAACTAGTGACCTGACTCAAATTCTGCTTCATTTAATAATTTTGTATATACTATTAAAATGAACTTTATCTTTACAGGTAACCTGTTTGGAGATGTGATAGCAATATTACTAAGTACTGCTATCTTTGGTGTATCTGGTTTTGAGGGTGCTAAAGCAAGACAAAGCCATTCTTTTAGCGCTCTTGAACGATTTGTGTTTGTAAACGATTTTGTGGAATGAGTGTAATGTTTAAAATACGGCACCATTCCTTTCATTGATCAATATCAGAAGGAAATTTAAGAATTTTTGTTCTTAAAATTTACGTTTAAAATAGGCCTATAAAATGTACTATTACAATTAGAAATTATGCGTTTATAATGAATTCTGCCTGGTAAAGACATGTTAAAGCATCAAAATACCTTTACTTGATTTTATATAATCCTAAATAATTTATATCTAAACTAAAATAAATATAGTTTCACTCACATGTTTTCGTCGACAACCAAAACCATAACATAACCACACATTTGTTCGATTTTGATACTGACAGCATGCGCGGGGCCCGCTGTAGCGGGCAGCCAGCAGTCATGCAGCGGACAGAAAGCCATCTTTACATAGTACAAATAACTAAGTGAAGGCACGTTTTTTTTTAATTTGTTGTAATATATGAATTAAAATTTTTGAAACAACACTTTTTGTGTGTTACTGAACTGAACAATTTTGCTATTGTAAAACGAACTTCAGAGCACCCAAGCTCGGAGTTGCATGCGCAGAAACGTGTTTACGTATTGTGCATATGATATAAACCCCCGTGATTGAGATCAAAAGTGCCGACGCAGAGTGAGCGACAGAGCTGGGGAGGATTCGAATCATATAGGATTCGAATCCAGGATTCGAATCCCTTTTGAGGATCCGAGAGCGGGATTCGAATACTTTAGAAAAAAAGAAACCGTGATCCGGATTCGCAGAGAAAATCCTAAAGGATTCGTATTCGAATCATCAATATCAGTCTCGGATCCTTTTAGAGACCAAACTACGCCGGCGCGAACGGCCGACTCAAGCTTTGACTTGTCGCGAATTGTAAACTAAAAACTAAAACAGACTGAGACTGAATAGAAAACCGATGTGTTTGGCGTTGTGCACGATTACAGAATTAACAAATCAAAAAAGGAGGAGGTTCTCAATTCGTCGCGATATTTTTTTTTATGTATGTTCAGCGATAATTCTTTAACACGGTGTCCGATTTCAATGATTCTTTTTTTGTTAGAAAGGGGGTACCTCAGGGGTGGTTTCGCATAAATTTGGTTAAGATGTGATGACGGCATCTGCACATTTTTGAAGTCGGTTTTTTTAAATTTTTAATTTCTAATACTTGTTTTTTTTATTTATTATAAATAAAAATTAGCTACAGCATTGAATATTTTATAAATAATTATCATATACATAAATAATTGGATAACTGCAAATAAGTAAAGTTCTTTTTAGCTAAATGATTTTAGATTTTAGTTTTATTTAAATTAATAAAATCTTAAAATATTTGTCCTTGTTTAGTTAATATCCATTGTTGCAATTTAGATCTATAAAGACCTATCGAATTTAGGTTTTTAAATTCCACCGGAAGTGCGTTAAATATTTTAGGACCTAGGTATAAAACAGTATTAGATTCGAAAGCAAATATAATTAATATCACAGTATAACACTGACAGTGATTCGTATCCGTGATCCGAAAAAAAAAAGGATTCGAACATTGGATCAGTGATTCGAATCACATCTCTTAATTCGGATTCGTGATTCGAATCCATTTTTCGAGGATTCGTCCCAGCTGTGGTGAGCGAACTGATTCGTTAGCTATAAATTGTGGCAAAGGCATCAAGATGGCCGCGCCTTATGTTGGGCGTGTCGGACCTCTCTCTTTCACCGTATAGTAATCAAAGTATGTGGGTAGGTCCATATAGCAGATGGATGACAGTATGACACGTGACATGACAGGTGGTCAGGAAAAGTTACTAGATTTTGAAAATCTAGTGACAAACAGTGTTACCAACATAAAATCTAATGAGAAAAGCATTGTTACCAACCTACAAAAAAGTTACTAGATTTTGAAAAGTTACTAAATCTAGTGACAAAAATGCCTTTTCGGACCTTAGAAATTCCCATGTTAATTTCCATAAGAAATGCACGATTTTGGCCCAGAACCGGTGTATTAAAACTGAACGTATGGAGCGTACCGTTCAGCAAGCTGATCCTGCTACCCTCATCGCAGCGACAATTCGATACACTCAATGAACGCAGCTTATATGTTAGATGATGATAATAGAAAAACGCTTAAGAGCAAACCGCGCCTCTCGCGAAAAGCAAAAATATTGTGAAGATTTTGTAATATAAAGCTTTTTTATATGCGCTGCACTGGAAATACTTTGCAATGTTATGTGTTTTAAAAATATTGAGTTTAACTTTGTGCAACGATAAAGCAGCACTCTACAGAGACATTTAAGAAAAAAGGTGGGAACCCTTCTAATTAAACTACAAGATATCTATGAAAACAAAAAGGCAGCAAATTTTCATAAATTTAATACAAAATGGCACGTAAATGTTTTTGTCAATTCCCTTAAAAAATTAACAAAATAAATACTTTTCGAAGGTTTACGAAACAATCCTGATTTCTCCACACTAAGTTTTGTCATTATTGGTATTTCCTTAAACTTTCACAAAAATTGGACTAAAAATAAAGGCTCCTAAGAAATTAGAAAAATTAAGGGTGTTCGGTTCGCTTCTAAAATAGCGAAATTATAAAAGTACAAAAACTTCTTGTAATTTCAGTGGTCAACCGAAATTGGTTACGACTTCAGAAGAAATCTTGATGTCGACTACGATGCTAAAGGCAAGTACAGTACGACGTTATTTACTAATGAAGCTGTGAAATTAATACAAGAACATGATACGAATAATCCGATGTTTTTGTATTTGGCCCAAATTGCACCGCATACTGCAAACGAGGAGGAACAACTGCAAGCACCTGATGAAGAAATTGCTAAATTTGCTCACATTAAAGACCCAGAACGACGTATCTACGCAGGTAAGGTTATTTTAATAATAATAATAATAATAATAATAATAATAATTCAGTAATAATGTGAAAATAATTCACAAAGCTACCAAGAGGTCTATTCTGTAACGTTTTAGTTAATTTTAACCCAAATCTCTATTCGATATTCCAATAATTTAATTTTGTGTTGTTAGCTATTTTATAAACAATTCCAGTTAAAATAGACATGGCATGAATTGTATGCAATGGCCCGGGTCTGGCTCGGTTTAACAACGGACCCACAGTGGTTCGTCAGATTTGCACGGTGTCGTATGTCTACCGCGCGATGGAAAGCAAACTTATTTCGATTCTATTTATCCAGGCTCATGGTTTGAACAACAACTGATACTGAATTTTGCACCAAATGCGGTTGTAGTAATGGATAATACCTTGTACCATTCCAGACTAACAGGTGAAATATCTTAATTTTTAAATAATATAAGTGTAACATATTGTTACGTTGGTTTTTGGTATCTCAATTTATTTTAACTTAACTTTTACAATTATTCAACTGATAACATTGGGGTGATGGGTAACATTGCATTTCTTTCTATATTCGTACGATTTTTATAACAGCCGCAGGCTACTGCTGGGTGCAGGGTTATAGAGCTCCCTCTTCTTTAATTATTCATCCCGAATAACTTAATTACTAGCACCTGGTTGGAGCCAACGGGGTAGATTTGGACTTCGGTTATAGCGCTAACTTTTCAATGTGAATTACCTTGGATTTACTTCCCGCTGACAACTGAATGCGGTAGATCAGGATTTTCATTAGGAAGGGGTAGAAGACTTCCCAGTTCTGACAGAGTCCGTTTTGACGCTTGGAATTGTACAGCCATATTGGATCGCCTTTCTCAAAATGTGTCCCTGTGGTATATATGTCGATTCTAGAGTTTGCTTTATCGATATTGGCTCTCAAACGTTGTCGAGCGAATTCGTGTACCTTCTCTAATCTTTCTCTTAAGTTCAATATATACGTGGGAGGTGTACGGCCCTCTTCTTCACCAGCAGTTTGCCTTCCAAAAAGAAGTTCATGGGAAAGTTTTATCTCCCTCTCATCATGGATGGAGTATAACTGGTCGATTAATGTTCAGAACTTCGGTAGGCTAACAGAAATAGAGGAATTAAAGTGTCCTAGTACTTTTGATTCTCAGAGACCAACATTGAAAAATACTGGCATATGATTCTATGGTGTCTTACCATTCCGTCGGACTGTAGATGGAGAGGCGTAGTTCGTTTTTTCCTGATGCCTAACAGTTTCATCAATTCTTGCCATTATTCGAATTCAAAATTTCGTCCTTGGTCAGAATGGAATTCTAGGGGACTCAATGACTCGCAATGATTTTCGTGATAAATGTTCCCGTTACTGTCGTCGCTTCCTGATTAGAAATAGGTGCTATTTGGAGCTATTTTAAAAAATAGTCCATAACAAGCATCAAGTATTTGTTTCTCCTTTCTGTTAGGGGAAGTGGTCCGAGGATATCTATGGCAAGTCGTTTGAAAGGCTCTCCGGAAAGGTACTGTGCCATTTTATCTCGGCTTCTTGTTTTGGGTCCTTTTCCACATTACATAGGTCACATTCCTTATACCAATCTTCTACATCCCGTCGGCAATTGACCCAATAAAATTTTTCCCAGTGTCCTTTCAGTTCCAAAGTGTCCTCCTAAATGGCTGCTATGAAGCTTTTACAATACACTTCTGACATGTGAAATCGGCAGTATCACTCAGCGGACTACATGTACTCCATCGGGGGTCTCCCACTTCCGGTGCAATAGGCCATCGTGAAGATACAGGAATTCCACTGAGTCCAATACCCTTTAAAAGTTCTACTATATCTGGCTATCTCTTTCCAAGTAGGTCTGACTATATTTTTGAGCCATTCCCGGACAACCTGCGTTAAAGCTGGCCGTTGTTAAGCATTAGATTCCTATGAGCGTTTCCTATCTTTATCTCCCTTATCTCTGGCCTAATACCACATACTTTGATTTTCTTTTACTATACGGAGAATGGTCGCACTGCACAGCTTTCTGAGTTCCTTTTAAAAGGAGATAGAAAACTCCGCCATTTTGATCCCTTATTAGGTGTTGCCTACATCTTGGCGCAATATTTTTAATAGGTGCATTTATTTAAATATCTGCAACAACTTCAGAACATAAAACAATAAAAATCGAAAACTACTTGCAAAGAGTCATAGGCTGTTCGTAATTTCTGAAGTCAATTTCGTTCTAATTTATCGTGTTGACCATGGTGATTTTGTACCAACACCGACTATCACGGTATAAGAAATGCTAGCATACAAAATTTCAATTACTTTCAAGTGGCAGTCATTGATTACTTTAAATGTGTTAATTTAAAGTTTCATGTATTTTTCTTTAGTTTTTTTATCGTTTTAAACATTTTTATAAATAGATAAATAAATCATCATGCCGAAGGTTTTTATAATTTTTTTATTCCATTTAAGATATATAATGCTATACGTACCTTTTGTATGATTTTTTTTGTCGAAAAACCATTTTTCTACTCTACTTGTACGATATCTTAAAAAAATATTTGGCCACATTGGTCTGTCTACAAAACTTAGACAAGGTATACCTAGTCTAAGCTACAAACGACGTATACATTTAGTTAACATCTGAGACGCATAGATGGTGCCATCATTGCTGTGGTCGTTGTGTTTCCTACACATACTTTGATTTTCTTTTACTATACAGACAATGGTCGCACTGCGCAGCTTTCTGAGTGCCTTTTAAAAGGAGATAGAAAACTCCGCCATTTTGATCCATTATTACGTGTTACCTACATCTTGACGCAATATTTTTAACAGGTGCGTTTTAATCATCCGCTTCTGCTTCGGAATTGTCGGTTTTCTTGTTTTAATCTGACAGGTTGAAACGACTAAACCGACAATTCCGGAAGCAGAAGCGGATGATTAAAACGTACCTGATATTTTGCTTGCTGCTGTCAGTGTCAGTAAATATTATTTTTGGAGTCACAGTTTATTGCTAAAGAATCAGTTAGCTCACTCGGACCAGTTGAAAGTTCCAAAATAAAATCCACTCCAGGGATACAATTTCAGAATACGCAGAAGACTGCTGTTTTATTATAGGCGGTTGTCATATATTGTATTATCCGAGTTGCACAGTATATAAACTGGAACATTGAGATCAAAAGTGCCGACGTAGAGCGAGCGATCTGATTCTTTACCTATAAACTGTGGCATAGGAATCAAAATGGCCGCGCCCTATGTTGGGCGTGTCGAACCTCTCTCTCAAAGTCTGAAAATCGGTTTTAAAACACATTTTTGCTAAACCGATTCAAATTAATGAACACTTGCCAAGCAATATGGCCGCTCGCAAACGACCCGCTTTGAGCAATCTATATAACTATATATGTATAATCATGAAGGTAGAAGGTAGGGAGCTCTTTATTATTACCTAGTCTAAGGTAGGGAGACGCTGTCACGTGATCCAAGATGGGTTCACTTCCGCCACATTTGGTTCACGAATCCTTCAGCTAATCGTGGTTTCAATTAACGTTTATTCTATTTTTATGTCGTTTTCAAACTAAATATATGGTACATATTAAAAGTTAAAAAATGGTTGCTTGTGCTAAACGTATTTGTAGCAACCTAATAGATATTCATATAAAGAAATTATCTGAAATAATATTCCACAACTAAGTATACAACATAGTAAACAATATTCAGGACCGTATTTGGGAAATTGAGCTATTAATTGTGCTTTGAGTAAGAGTGTTGTAACCATGTTAGGGTATAGTAAAGATGAATTAAAAATGAGAGAATATGCTGAATGGTGCCAAAATTAGATTTAAAATATTCATAAAAAATTTTGTATAAAATTGTTTTAAATGACATGGATAATTATATTAGTGCCCTAAAAACACTTAATTTACAACACCGACTCACATTTACAGTTTATATCAATATTCGAAATATCTAAAGACCACATAGAGCTGTTCTTTGATTGTATTCGCTTACGAGGAGGCCACAATAACTCCACCGGCCAGCAATTTTTGGGGTGCTATTTTCAAACTTGAGAGAAAGTGATTTCTGTCAAGATTTTTATGAAAAATGACATACGTCATCGTAAAAACAGTATTTTTAAAGCCAGTGATAACTTGTGTTTCTTTTGGTTTATTTCGAGAGTATTAAAATTCTTCCAAAAATTTGAATTCTCATTGGCTTTAAAAATACTGTTTTCACGTTGACATATGATATTTTACATGGAAATATTGAGATCAATTAAGTTTGAAAATAAGTCCGTAGCTTACACAAATTATTAGTACATGTTGAAGTACCTGAAAGTTTTCGTGGAAATTGTATTCCTCTAAAAAAGGCTTCGAATTTTAAAATGTCCTGTTCTTCAAATCAACGAATCTTCAAGAGACTATAAAGCTTTTGACTTATCAGAAATTTAATTATTTAATATATCCCAAGCTATCAAGATTTATAAAATATATTATTGTACATATATTTAAAGTGACCATATTTTGAAAAGTAGAAAGTGGGACAAATCGAAAACAAGAAAAAAAATTCGAATTATCTTTGCAGTAGTGACGATTTGGTTAATTGAAGAGCAAAAAACATATATAAAAGAGTGGGATGTCACGTAACCATAAAAATTTAAATATTTATATTTTTTTCGTTTGACAAAAGCGCAACACATTTTAAATCGGGACCAGTGGTTTAAAATCAGGACTGTCTGGCCTAAATCAGGACGAATGGTCATTTTATATATATTCTCTTAAAAAAAACGTATTTGTGCTCTATATTATGTATTTTCGTTTATTGACAAAAAAAATGAAAAGAACATACAGTATATCCCTTTATGGATGTTAGACGTTTGTCTTTAATGTGAACAAATAATAAAAATCAGCTATTACTTTAAATTATCCACCATATTTTAGTAAAATATGTAGTGTCTTCACTGTTACAAATTATTTATAAATAAAAATATATTTGCAAATTGTAC